ATAGCTTGCTTGTTATTTTCGATGATACTGGCATGTCAGCCGTTTTGATGGCATGGCTGGTATGGCAACTGTTCTGACTCATTTAAAAACATACATTGAGTAATTGAAGTTTATTTTCTGTGAGGAAACCTGAAATCATTATTTTGGCATTATTAGCTTATACACTTAAAAGGTGGAAGCAAACATTTTCTTATTTTGACATAGAGCAGATGCAGAGCTTCATTAGAAACCTGACAAATCTGAATGAGCACATAATGAAGTCAGTTTTGGCTTCCACCTCCTAAGCAAACTATCTGGCTCTTCAGAGGCTACATTCTCCACTATGTTAAAAGCTAGTAGGTAATTGTGTGCTTTATTTGGTAATCTGCAGTGCATTTTGCTTTTTGTTGAAAATGTGGCTGAACACACAAAAGGGGAAAGAGCAGGAAGTGAGTAAAAACTCAAAAGAAAATAATTAGCTGAAAGATGCTACACAGCTCTGCAGAATGAAGGGGGGCTGCAGAGTTGGATGATAATTCTCTCCGGGTTCATCACTACAAGCGATCCCTCTTGAATTATACATAGTAATTAGATTCATATAAATATTGATCACAGAAGCTTGAAAAATACACTTTTCAAAGCACTTTGCAGAGCTTACACTACGGCCTCAGGTTAAGAGCATGCTTTAGATTTGGGTTTCAATAGATAAGCGACAGTAGTTTGTTCAAAGGAAGCACGTCACCTGCATCACATCATGTGCAGGACTGTAATGACATGTCCACCAAGGACTTGTTTTTGGTTATCTAGTTGTATCTGGATTGATTGTGTGGGCGGCAAAAACCACATGAAATTAGATCCAAACCACATTCGTCGGTGTGAAATGCTTCAGTGCTGATGCCTACCGCAATGCACACAGGTGATGGCCTGGACACAAGTCCGATCCCATCACTTGCAAATTACAGTGCAGACAGTCTGTGCTGAAGATCTGATATGAGAAAGGCATCTGATTTATACCTCCAGTATGAAAAACAAGGCCGAAGAGATTGTGAGTTGTTTGGGTGTGCGGAGTTGAAAATTGTCTCTTGGTTTACGTTGCCAGAAACAGATGGAGCCAGAGACTGTGTTTACCTTGGTCTTTCAGCTTTGATGTGCAGATGTGGAGTTCACAGAGAATGAGTGATGTTCTAGTCTGGCTGAGTGGCATTAAAAGCCAAAGTAAACTCAGTCCTTAATGGACAAGAGAGGGACACAGTGACTTGGTATTGACTCCCTCATTTCCTATTCTACTTTACCTGAATCTAAGTTTGCACCTTTCCTGCTTGATCAACCCTGACGACCTCTGGAGACAGCAGAGGGGGTTTCTGGGGACCTGTGACATGGATCATCATGGGGAAATTGAAAAGGGAAAAAGACTGATGTGACTCTAAAAAATGTTTGTGTGTTTGTTAGTTTGATCCTCACTACACATCTGTACAGTAAGAGGAGAGGCCAGGCTTTGTTGTTTTTGACTTTATGAAAACTATGGGACGTGTTTTCACTTTAAAAGGTATTTACTGAAACCTTTGAATACAGAAGCTTTTCCAGCTCTTGAACGTCTGCTGGTGTATTTTGCTCATGTCTGCACAGTGACTGTGATTTAAATGAATAAGGAAAAAAAAAAAAAAAAAAAAGAAGAAGTCTCTATTAGCCTCCCCCACAATTCATTGCCTCCTGAATATGATGCTGTGACAAAAGGATGTGGAACAAATAGCATTAGCACTATGATGTTGCCTTATCTAGGTCATGATATAACCAGCCTATCTCTGACTAATCCTCTTGTGGTTGACACTGAATGAAAGGAATAGCATATTAAAGTACTCGATTGAGATGTCAAAACAGTCTGGCAGAATGCTATTGGGGTGGAAAGCAGGGTTTGATAAGCGCTGATGCCTTTGTTTAGGCAGCTGGGAGGGAGAGATGGACATGCAAGCGCAGAGTTCTGCTTATATTTGGGAGCATTGGGGTTTTCCCTATTCGCTCTCTCTCTCTTTCTCTCCCTCCATTTCTCGCTGTCTCTCTCTCCCCCTCTTTTGCTCTTCCCCATGCTGCCTCTCAGACAGCTTTGATCACAGCACCCTTTGAAGCAGTGTTCCAAAATGAAAACGAGGAGAAAGCAGAAGTCACCGCAAGTTCACGTCTAAACTTCCTGCAACTACTTGCAAAGTGCACATCATCATCGCAGCACGGGCTCTGCAAGACCTCTAATTGACGAGGGGAAGAAAAATCAAAGCCATAAGTCATTGATTACAAGGTCACAAGGTTTTGTTACTATTGATCAACTTTTTTAACCTAATGTTGGTGAGTTTAAAGATTCTGTTTGATACATTTTTGATGGTTATAACCTTATATTTTTTAACACAGCATAATACTGCACAGCTGAGCAAATACAGCATAGTCTTATTTTCTTTAGTCAGCATGATCCTGTGTTATTTGTGAGGGTTGAATCCTAAAGGAACAGCCATTTTAGGAAATGCACTTGTTTTCTTTCACAGTCATCATCAGAAGATACGATTGATACTAGTTACGCACCCGAACCTCCAGTACAGATATAGAAAACAGCAACAAGAGGGGAAACAGCTTATTTAACCTGTAAACGTATATTGTCCATAATTTCTGAATCTATGAAAGGAAACAGATTGATTTTGGTTGTAGGTCTGTTTGGATTAGATAAATACAGACATGTCTGTCTGGATATTTAATGTAATGAATATGTTTAAGATGGATGGCAAGTATCCACCTTCTCCCACTGTACAACAAGGAAAGCAAAGTATCTCTGATTTGGGTGCTAGAGTGTGGATTCATAAGGGGGTCAGGGATGGAGTCGCAGTAGCGAGGTCCCATCAATACACATGCTCAACCAAACGCGAGTTAGACTCAGCTGTCAATCATTAGGTCTGACCCCGCTTTCATGAGATCACACAACAAATTAAAACCAAACTTCATAGAAACAGGAGCACTTAGACATAACTCATTTTAATGGGATCAACTGAAAATGACACAAACATCTTTGAGATAAAAGTTGGTCCCAATAACATGGAGGCAGGATTTAAGACCTATACTGCAGGCAGCCACCAGGGGGCAATCATCTTTTGGGTAGCAGCCATGTCATCCATCTTTACATTAAATCGATGATCTTTATATAAAGTTATATCCATTAGAGGTTCCGTAATTGATTTTCAAGGAGAACCAGAAGGTTGGCGGTTAAATTCTTGTCTTTCCCTCATAGAACAAAGTGCTGCCCATGGATGCACTGTATGAATGTGTGTGAATGGGTGAACAGCAGTAAATTGTAATGTAAAGCGCTTTGAGTTATATGAAACAGACAATACAATTTAAATTCATCACTATTCATGGCTGAATAAATAGAGAAACACATTGTTTTCCAAGTCAACTCCTGATGCATGAGTTACTGACCCACTCATTGCAACGGCTGCCAACATCCCCCTGACACTGATGCAGCTACAGTACCATGGATGGAGAAGCAACTACTGTCAGCGGATGACAGGGAAAAATAGATGTAGGACACATATACATATATATGAGGGACACCATTAGAGCACTGCTCCTAATCTGCTGTGACATAAGTGATCTCTTCTGACGTCTATGTCATCTAACCATATCTTCGAAATGATTGAGAAGGAGCAAGAAAAAGAATAAGTACCAAGCAGATAAAAGTGAAGAAGATAAAAAATTACATACGAAGAGCAAATAAAGGAGATATTACAGACTGTCCTACATATCTGCTGCACTAATGACTGTTTCAGTTCTCTCTGTAATAACCTGAGTAACCACATCTCCACAGGGGCACTCCATGAATTTCACCCCGACCGGTGAAGACGTCAGTAAATGTGCGAAATGTAGTAAGCAATACAGAGCACGAGTTAATTGTGATCATGTAGTATGGCTCAATTTAGTTCTCACCTTAATTACAGTAAGTCTGAGGAGTCTCGTCTAAATGAAAAAGAGTTGGAGGAGTTTTAGAAAAGACAAGGTGTGAGATAAATTAGCTGTGAGACTAACAAATGGCGGCAATTAGCTCAGCTAGCTCCCAGTCTGCCTGCACAGTCTAATTGAGAAACCAGGCCAACAACTATCTGGAACAGTTGCTTTAACTTTTTTTTTCTTAATCTGTGCTGCTGACAATCGGCCACATCTCGGCAATGCTGATACAACAAATTAGAGGAGGCATCGCAAAAAAAAACCTTTTACAAAAACGGATTCAAGCTTTTAGATTCGAGAGCTTTTATGTAAATGTTAAGTGGTGAACATTTATAGTTATCTACATCAGAATGCTACTTATCAAGATATTAACAGCACAAAAACAGCTTGATAACAAGAATATTACCTTTTACTGCACATGATTGATACGTTGTGGCCAAAGTACTGATTAAGAAACTCGCCAAAGGTCTGGGTGACAAACGCTAATCTCTTCCTCTTCATCACATTGTTTATGGTGTCACAGAAGTAAAGAATGACAGAGAGAGTGAGAGTTAAAAGGAAGGAATGGAAAGGGGGGGGCAAGTGAATAGCAAACAAAGTGGACAAGAGGGGAGAGAAGATGATGAGGGGAGGTGGAGCTGAAAGGAGATGAAGAAGGATGAGGATGGAAAGGATCAGACAAGGATGAAGGATCTTCGGATGGGAGGAGGGAATAGCAATTCTGTAAAGTCAGACTCCTGCAGATGACTGGGGAGACCCTAGAGATCTGTCAGTGTGATGCAACCTCTTCTCTCTTCTCTTCTCTCTATCTATCTGCAGCTTTATTACCTCCACCAAGGAGGTTATGTTTTCACCTATGTGCCTTGGTTTGTATGTTTGTGAGGAAGACTTCACAACAAGAACAAAATGGACTTCCATGTATTTTGGTGGGAGGATATGGGGTGGGGGGCAGAGAGGACCTCATTAAATATTTGTGCAGATCCAGATCAGTGGGGGGGTTGGATGTTTTTATTTAGATAGCAAGGACTAGAACATAAACTGTTCTTTGTACTTCATCTGATCTACCCAGTGCCTTCTGACTGCATACTATGTTGTGTTCTTTTTTGAGTACTTTATGTTGCATACTTCTCTTTACTTATGTTTACACCAGGGATGAGAGAGAAACAGCATTTCAGTCCCATTGATGTCCTGTGCATGTGGCAGAATTAACCAAGAGTTGGCTTTGACTTTAGAGGGGACTTGGTGGAGGTACTGACTGTTATTCTAGTTTATAAGTGTGCTACTCCAATTACCTCAAACACATACATGACCATAGAAAACATCCAAAACAGCTTCTTACCGTGGCAGTAGCCATCTGTCTCCTCGTGGCCAATACTGCAGACACAGCGGCCCAATGGTACGAGCCAGTCGCCATCAGCGCCACAGTACAATTTGGGTGTGTCCCTTTCTTCTGCATTCTCCACACACGCTCCCCTCACTTCCACCAGGGAGGATGAGTCCATGTGCGGCACCGTGTCGGGAAAGGCTGCTAGGTTCCGTAAAGTGGATGGGCAGCGTTTGTAGAAGACCTAATGTGCGAAGGAGAAACGTGGGAGGTTCAAGTTCTCCTTGGCTGTAGTTCAAGCAAATACGAGTCACATCACAATGTTCACTGACCTTGACAGACACAAGAGCAATACAGGCTCCCACGTCCTGGAACGCCAGGTAGAAGCCCTTCTGTGTCACAGGCCCCACCTCCCTGACCTCCGTGTTGAGGCGAAGCACACGATCTCCGAGATCTGTCTGTGTGAAACTCTCATCTGCCGCGATGGTGTCCACCTTAAAGCCAACAACCACAACGTCATTAGAACACTTGCTACTGAATGTAACGCAGCAGAGAACTATTTTCCATGATAGGCTACACATCCAATAACTAACCTTGGCATAGTCAAGAGGCCGAAACCGTGTCGCTGCAGGGAGAGGCTCATCTGTCTGCAGATAAAACAGGTTGAAGGTTTCCTTACAGGTGCCAGACACCCAAGGAATGGAGTTACAGTCCCGCAGGGTGAAACGCAGCTCCACATAGACCTGAGTTATAATAAACATTAATAAAAACAATAATAATCATCAGCTGATTTGACATTGAGTAATGAAACATGTATGGGATGTTATTATAACAATAAAGACGATGAGCGTTCACACAAACAATTGGTTAAATACAAGCATCATAGCGTTTCATCTTCAGGATAAAATATAGAAATTAAATTGGTTAAGAAAAAAGGCCAAAGAAAATTTCTGTACAAGACAATCAACAGTGAAAAGGATAAAAGACCTAGACAGGATGTTTGAACATGTGATGGTGGCGTCAGCTCATAATGAGCATCACTCCAGCCAATGTGTAAAAAAGCAGCCCTGCATCTTTGATTTCTCATGGGCCCTTGTGTATTGACTGTAATGGAAATCCGCCTCCATCACAGTGAAGTCATATTGTTACTATACAAGGTGCATCTGCCTGCCATTATTATCTCCCCATATGTTACTGTAAATAGAAGTTTGCATTCCCTCCTGTCAGTTCGACTCAGCCCGGCCTGCCATATGACTAAGACATAAGTCTGAGGAAGTGTGGTGACATGATCCAGACCCTCTGTGCTGCCTGCCGCTGGATCCATCCAGACCGCAACCAGTTGTTCTGGTTTGGCTCCATCACGTGGCAAACCTGAAAGGTGTGAATGGGTCTGTTCTGCTCGTCCATCTCTGTGATCGCATCCCACTGTGAACATATAGGAATCAAATATTGGTATGTTGGTAAGAGGGAAAAATGGACACAGCAGTGTGAGAGTGTGAGTAACTCTATTGTCTATGATGTGACAAACAATGTTTGGCTTCACCCCTTACAACATGGTGTTAAAAACAAAGATTTTAAAATAAATCAAATAAATGATTAGCAGAAGAATAGCAGTTTTAATGTTTTCGCATGTTAAGGTTTTGATATCTATCCTATGAAACATTTTCTTCACCACCAAAATCAACACCATGTAGCTATTAAAAAATAATGTCACATCCACACAACATCAATGCTGCATCAATCTGTCTCAACACACATTCAATGGATTCAAGGTTTTCCAGTGTCACACACTCACGTCAGGTTTTTAAGCAGTAACATAAAGTCAATAAACACAACCAGTCATTCTTGGTTAAAATCTTGTTTATTGGTACATTTTTGACACTTCATTGTATTCTGAATGATGACACATTTAGTTTCCACCGTTTTGTCTTTACTACACCTATCTATTCAGCTTTCTTTGTCTCTGTGTTACCTTGTTTGCAGCATCAGTCCTTCTTCCTGGTTTGGCTAAAAGACTTGGCTGAGGGTGGAGCCTGGTTAAATACAGAGGCCCACTAAATGGACCAGACCAAGTGCTGCATCAGTATGGGGGGGAATGGAGTTTCTTTGTACAAGTTTTATTTGTTTGTTTTTGTTTGGTTGATCTCTTTTAATGGGCCCAGTTTTCTACTTAATCTGCTTAATTTACATTCCTTTGTGTTTTATATGTTTGGGTGAACTATATCCTTTGCTCATTTGTCCTTTGACAGTTCCTAACAATGAGTTTCCTACCAGTATTAGCAGGAAATATTGCTATTTTGGTGAACTGAACTTTTAAGACAACAGTAATTTGTGGGTTATTGTGAGAGTCAGTGATAATATGCTATTGTTTATGCAAACTGGTATTTAATATATCAGTAGCCTTTGTGTTAGACTGCAAACTAATAACACATGTACGTATATAGTATTATTGCATGCTCCGTTGATGCTGTGGTTTTAGTGCTGCTCTGTGAAATGATCAACCTGTGCATCCTCTGCTGCACGTACTGAAACCTCTCAAGAAACATGACGTTTTGGAGACGTTACAGCTTCACCAATGTTTTCAAGCTGTTGCATCAGCCAGACTCTCTCATTTGTCTACTCCGCTTTAACGGTGCGATGATCAGAGCCTCAGAAGCCCTAACGTTTATTGACAGAACTTTCTCACGACAGCAGAGATTGTGTCAGTTCCACAGCGGGACATGTAATTACTGTATATCTCAAGAGCATGAGCTACATGAAAGACACAAGAGCAGCTCTGCTGGGGTCTGTCCTGTAAAAGCCACGGGGGAGAAATACACTGCATGTAAAATGTTATAATACTATTAACTATTCTGCAAATATGTTTGATGAAAATATTATTTTATCTTTGGTAAGTGTTAGAAAATCATAGATTAAGTTTAAAATGGAATTAAAATGTTGAGATAGTAACACCCCCAACTCTCTCTCTCATCAGGGGACCAGTTTAAAGTTGCATCCATATTCAGAGGCTCAATAAACTACGCAGCCACATTTAAACAAATCTAAGTGAGCATTTGTGTCTTTCTCATCAAGTTCAACATTTTAATGGCAAAATTTGGGTTAGTGAAGTTTCACTCAACTGTGCAAAACACTAATATTAACAATATGCCCAAGCTGCAAACAAACAAAAGAAACAACTCTCTGACACCATTATAGCAGCACACTTTTTTATTGGTTATCAACGTCAAACCAACTGAAAGCAGTTATACATAATTTTTTGGAACATTATGGGTTGAACAAAATAACTTGAATCCTCCGTCAAACATGTGATTCTCCACAATGAATTATGGGATACTGAAGGGTGTAAAAACAAACGGGCTGTGTCCTAATGTGGGTAAATGAAGACCAGATATTGTATATAGGCCATTTTTAAAGTCAATTCCAGAACAGGACAGGAAAAGTTGTCATTCCAGGATCCCTGACTGTGGACAAAGCTACTGAAGAGATTTCCACTAAGGGGGTGTCATGATCCACCCGTTATTTTCTCTGAGACATGGAAGACTAAACCTTCCTCAATGATTGCAAACTATCATTTCCACTTCACACACAGGAGATGGAGGTAAGCTAGTTTGCTAAATGGAAAACACTGTGAAAATGAATTGATCAGCATCTGGGATATAATGGAGCATTAGATAAGAGAAAATGATCCAGAGCTGCATGCCGTGCTCACTCACACTAAGAAACACACACACACACACACACACACACACACACACACACTCAGAAACACACTAAGAGACACATAGTCACAGCTCTTAATTAACTACAGTATCTTGAATGTGCTTAAATAAAAACTAATAAAGGTGACTTGACAGACAGAATGAGTTGACCCTGAGGAAACTGAAACAACTGAGGTAGAGTGTTCTCAAATGTAAATGATTAAATAACACTTTAACCTTGACTGGAGTGTGCAAAAGCAATTAATCTTTTATTAATTAAGCTATCTAAATTAGCTCTATGTGACACCCAAGGGCCAAATGATTAATCAATCATAATTGCTGTCCCTTTCATTTGGAACTCCAGCCACCATATAACACTTTGCGCATGTCTGTATGATGTTAAGTGGACTCACATTTTCAATACAATGGGAAATATTCAAGTTAAAGTAGCAGACTCTAAAAATGGAGAGAACGTCTTGGTTTAAGATTTAGTCGTTTAGTCTGTAATATAGGCTAAAACCATAAATCCCTGTGTTAACTACAGTATATGCATAATAATTAAGTATTGTGTCCATGAATGTAATGTAAGTTTAAACAAGAGCTTTCAATAAACAGTATGATCTGTGTTTATAGTACATTATAATAAACCATGTCTGTTATATTTATTATTAGTGCATGCAATTTCATCCGATAAATGCAATATTTCTCATGTCTGTTTTCATCTTATTTATCTGTTTATTCAATACTGTATATGTCTTCAGTGCTTTTTGCCATTTCTGAGATTCTCTGCTACTTTCTGAAAATGTAAATGCAGTAGAGGTCACAGAAGAGCATTGTAAGACTGACACACTTGATGTGAAGGGAAGTTCTTCATTAGATACAGTCACACATCACATTGTTTCAGTGGCTTCCTTACAGACACTGATACAGAAACTTGGTGTCTGTGCAGGAAGCAGACTTTCTGGTTTGCATAAGATCAGCGATAAGTAATTGGCGTTCCATTATGCATACGAACAGGAGAACATGGTGATTTGTCACTCTGTGCGCTTCAGTGTTTTAAAATGCACCCTTGGGATGTGGCATAATTCAGAGCAGAGAAATCTGATGCGAACCCCGAGTTTGAAAGATGAGCTGTAGCCCACGCTCTCTGAGGCAATCAGGTGTGCACCCGCTAATCGCTCTGCTGATTGGCCCTGCGCTTAGCAGACTGCAGCAGACAAACCAGGTTTTAAGTACAAGGGGTGGGACTCATTAAGGGATTGAACTCACGCTAATGTGGCAACATTAGAGTGCAACAGCAGGTTTTCTGGAAATGGTGAGTAAAAAAAATGTTTGATTTAACTTTAGCACTGGATATCTGGAAATCTGCAGACGATGCAAAAACAATTTTGAGCCTAATATATGGATTCATGACTTAACACAAAAATAAAATAAAACATGTCACAATGACATATTAGAATACTGTTCGACCAACAGCTTCTTAAACTCTGCCTCCATTTAAAAATGTTAATCAGTCATACATTTTAAATTGTCATCAGGATCTTAATTCATGTTGATTATCATTTGCCCTTTGAAAATTGGGCTTGTAACTGAATTGTCACTGTAATTAATTAGGTCAAGTCAAGTTAATTTATTATGGCACATTTAAAAACAAGAGACGAGAAAAGAAATGATGAGATTAAGAGATGATGATGATGATTAAATAAAAACACAGGCATAATTGATAGAATATGAGTAAATTAATGTATTCAATACTGGATAAATTCTTAAAATTAACTAGAGAAAGAATGAATAATACAAATTAGAAAAGAAAAAGACATGGTTCAAGGTAAGAAACCATGTCTCCAACTTGAAATTCAGTTCTACAAGTTGATTATAGCTTCACCTTCAGCTACAAACTTAGCAGGCAGCAGTCACAACTCAACAACCAACACATATATTATTTTCTTTCTCTGCAGCTTTTTTCCACAGAATCAAACCAATTTGTGGTGACTTTTGTTTCCTCCTATTGAAAAACTGATCAGTATCTATAGAACACGCTGAAAAAAATAACGTGGAGCGTTATTGCATTCTGGGTGTCAATGGTTCTTGTCATTAGGTGTTAAAGAAGACATTTGGCTGTAAAGAAAGCTCACTGACACACACACCTCGTCGCACAGACAGATACTGTTGTATTAACAACATGGTGGAGGCGCTCCAACCAATTCAGAGCTGAGCTTTTGATTAAAACGAGACAATTTGTCATTGTCAGCGTAAAGGGAGGACAGAGAGAGGGAGGTGTTATGAAAATATCATTAAATCTCTGTAGTTGTGATGAATTATTGATTTGAATCTTGGTGTTGGCATATGTGTTTTTGTTCAACCAATTAATGGCATTGTTACTCCCAATAGCAAAAACCCTGTTTAGGCTGCGTGCAAAGGGAGGAGAAGCTGTTTCAATACTTGCATTTGGCCATGAAAATATATCTCGGTATTTTGTTTCTATTTATTGGTTTTGCTCCAAAGGATTTATTGCACATTTAATAATAGCCTGAAAGCAGAAGCAGTCTCTCTACCACCTCGTGTCTCGAATTAGACACAACGTTGTGGAAAAAATGATTGTGGTTGCTCAGTCCCTGCTGGAATATTCGTAAGAGTGAAATCTACAGCGTTTCCCCTCCAGGCTGAGCCTTGTAAGAATAACATGCTACAGTTAAATTAGTTTAATCTCTAGATATTATAAAGGTGAGATCACCTTTCAAATCTGGATTCATTGCACGCAGATGTACTGTCACATGTGTTCTATAATAAAACAAAAACACAAGGAGAGACACAAGAGGAAGAGTTTTATTTCACCTTGTCTCACTTGTGAAATCAATATTATAGTTTTCAGCTAAATGTGATGTAATCATTAATGGAGCAGAGAGAGGCAGAGACCAACTAAGGTTTGGCCTCATGAAAAGAGAATTGACAAAATAATTTTTAAAGAGCTGCCACCAACAAAGGCAGCTCCATTTGCTTCTGCAGTTAGGAAAAGTTATAATTTGCCTGTTACGTTGCTGTGCGGTTTAAGGATGACATCATCACCATGAAAATGATCGTATCAACAGTTTAATGAGCCACTGAGCACCAGTCTGGTGATGTGGAGGTTGAAAGGAGGAGAACCACATGAGTTTAAAGTTATTTTTTTAGATGTTGGTGTTAAAAAACAGCTTTTCATTATCTGAAGCGAAGTCTTTAAACTAGTTAAGACACTGAAGTTGAATCCGTATTGGTCCTTGTA